CAGTCCGGGGGCCACAGCCCAGCCTTGTAAAGCAGAGGCCATCCCCGATCCCCTTTGATTTCTACCCTTTCCTTGCTGCGGTCACCAGTGACTGACATAAAACTAAAGCAGGAGCTACACTTCAGAAATCGTTATGACGATGAAAATAATAGCTGGCATTTATAAAGCGCTATGTCGCTTCATTTAACCCTGACCCCTGGAGATATTAAGGGATCTACCCAAGATCATACAAGAAGTAAGTGGCAGTGACCATTACGAGGTCCAGCCAGCCATGGCCGTTCCTCCTTGCCTCCAGGAGGGGGTCCTTTCATTGTTTGAGGCTGTGACTTCGCACATACAAGCTCTGTGGGCTCCATCGTCTCGTCTGTTTCTAAGTGTTCCTCAGGACTGGGCTTGGGCCCATCTCTTTCTGTAATTTCTCGGATTCACTCTGGTGCGAGACTCAAGTAGTGCCTGTCAGAGCTGAGCTCCCACAGCCCAGTCTCCTAGGGTGATTCCAAGCCCGCAGATAACACTGTCCAGAAGTGAACCCCTCCCCGCAATCTGCTCCTCCTCTGCTGTGTTCTGCCCTCGGAGATGGTCCCATAGTCCATTTCTCTTAGAGCTGCAGACCGGTGTTTGTCATACACACTCAGGTCAGCAAGAGAAGTCCTCTAACTGCCGCTTGTTGCAATAGTATTTACAACTGTTAAAAAGTAAACACCTGTAATAGAAGCTCTTTAGCAGGGGATTAGTTTGATGAACAACAGAATATTACCTAGCTCCCCCAAACAGTGAGGCGTGTTTCATTAAGTGTGAAGTGAGGTACGTCTGGCTATTCCATGAAAAAAGTTGCAGAACAGTGTGTGGTTGAGCCCAAGAGTTAGGAATCAGGAGGGGTCAGCACAGATGGGTCTTGTCCTTTTTTAAGCTGTATTCCTTGAAACAGTTTTGAAAATTAATCCTGAGACGTGTTCAGGAAACAATGCTCTATAGCCAAGAAGTTTGAGAGAGAGACGCTTTATACTGCGTTTCTGACGGAAATTCCTAAGACATGTTCACTTATTAAGACCTCTGAAGTCTTGTAGCAAACAAAATAAAGTTCTTAACTTTACCGAAGTTGGCATTTCCCAAACCCCTGCCATGTTCTGTTCAGTTGATACTCCAAGTAGTGTTTAGTGGAAGCCTTACCAGTGCCCTTTCATTACTGAGGATGCTCTGAATTACTAATATCAAAGAGGGTGTAGTTTTCAGGATTCTGGAAGTAGCTCACACTTCTGCTCAGTGAAGGAATCTCACGCACCGTTAATCTTGAGAAACAGGCTGTTTGATTAGTGCAGTGTGACTTGTTAGAGAGCTTGTTTAATATTGGCAATACTGGCTTTCATAGCCCTTTGGAACAAGGCTTTTCTGTGAGACAAGTCCTGAAACATACAACCTCCCTTCTCCATCAGACCTGCTGATTTTCACTCTTGTGTTCCACCCCATCACCTGATTTTCCTAGGGAGAGATGAAAGAAAGTGAACTTAGAAGAGTGTGTTGTCATTCAGGCTTCGGGAGCCAGTGGCTGGTGTGAGAAGGCGCAGCCGGCTCTGCCACTGCTTCCTGTCCTTGGCTGGCTGCATTTTGTGCCTTGGTTTCTCAGTTTCGAAATTGGCAGCTTCTGTATCTGAAAAATCAGTCTTACTCCTGGGTACGCGTGACCACAGCTGTAACCCTGTAACACTAAGGGGTCTGTATACCAGAGTATGTTTGCCTAATGTCCTAAGTATTGGGTTGTTGGAAAAGTCATGACGCAATTTTGCAATGAAAAACATAGAAAAAATACTTTTCCAACAACCCAATAGATATTTTTAGTTTTGTTTTTTGTTTTTACTATCTGCTGGCTTTCTGGACCTCCTAAGTTCTTTGGCCACGTGATGTGATTTATTGGGAAAATATCTTTACCTCTTACCACTCTGACTTTTCACGAAGTCCGCTTAAGATTATTGACAGTTTTTGATGGCCTAGTTGTAAGATGGAATGTATATAGTTTGTGAAGTGGTATATTTCTGAAAACTCAACATTGACCAATAAGCCAGTCTTTTATGGGCATCTGTATTGTATTTTATTACTCCAAGCAGTTTTATAATAAGTTTTAATTCATCAAACACTTGAGTAATGCATAAGCAGATTACACACACACACCCCACCGCACCCCCAGGGTGGACAGCTCCATTCATTACCAGAGTGCATCCTCTGTCCCTTTGGGCAGTCCGGTAGATAACACAGGTGCCCCACCCAGATGCCCTTTCAGGGAAGGGCTTGGCTCCCAGCATGGGTGGTGTGGTCAGCAGACGGCCTCCCAGCGTCACCTCCTCCAGGGCCTGCCCTAGCTGCAGAGAGCCGCTTGCCCACCACTCTCAGTGGCTGAGCGGGACAGAGGCCTGGCCCTGCAGCCCCAGTGCCACGTGCTGCAGAGGGTCCGAGCCGATGTCGGGGCTGTGGCACAGTTCACGCCCTCCTCTGCCCAGTCCTGCTTCCTCCCCTTTAGGCGTCATCCCTGAAAAGCATCTTACACCCACACTGTGTCCTAGCATCTGCTCCAGGGAGCCCAGCCCGAGTCTACCAGGTCGGCCATTGCTGTCAGCATGTGACCTCACCTTCAGGACGTTTCCTCATGTGCTTGCTTTAATGTTGCCCTTTAGACTGTTTTAGATTTCTTTGCTGTAACATTAGTGATAAATCTTGAAGTATATAAATGTGAGACTCTCTAGGCCAGCGGTTCTCAACCTGTGGGTCGCAACCCCTTTGGGGGTCGAACGGCCCTTTCACAGGGGTCGCCGGGTACTCGTATGTGGGCGTATCTGCATGTGGGCCTGGAGACGGATAGAGGAGCTGTGTCTGGGTTCCTAAGACCATCGAAAATGCGTGTTTTCCGATGGTCTTAGGCAACCCCTGTGAAAGGTTGAGAACCGCTGCTCTAGGCAGTATTAAAAACAAAATAGGTTATCCGCTTTAAATAAGGACATAAGAATTTTGGAGACCCTCCGATCAACTATGTAAGAATTTTGGGTACTCAGTGGGACAACTAGGAAAAGGAGATGGGTAGTTTGAAAGTATGAGCATCTAGTTTAGACTAAGTGAAACAGTGGTCCAGGTGCGAGACGCTGTTGATTACTGGGCGAGGAAATGGAAGCGAGTGAGTGAGTTTGAAATGACCTTGAACGTTAAAATCGCCAGCGCTTGAATGTGAAAGGTGAGGGATGCAGCGTTAGAGTATTCCCAGGTTTCTGATTTGTGGGTACTTAGTAAAGTTTCCTTGACTCAGATGGGCCGCACTGGTGGAGAAAGGAGTTTGGGGACAGATCCTGAGTTTAGCTGTGGGCCTGTAGGGCTTGAGACATCAGGAGAAGATGTGACTGAGGCACTTGGGTATGTAGACCAGCCTGGAGTTCAGAGAAGAAATCTGGGCTGGAGAATTTAAGTGATAATTTCCCCTTAGGGGGAAATTAACTCAGTGACAGGGAAAGCAGTACAGGTTTAAACAGGTGACGCTGTCAGGCGGTACTGCCAGTCCACATCCCGATAACCATCAAATGGGGTGTTAGCATGATCTTCCCAAGGTGGATGAAAGGAGAGTCAGATTGAAAGTATATTTAGAAAGCGTTTGCATACTGGTTGCTGAGTTGTTAGTTTCTGTAAAACTTGATGGAATTCTTGTTAGACACTTTCATATTCCACATTTGAACCTACCTATTTGTGAATGTATGACATAAAATACTTTCAGGATCAGGAATGGTGTTTTGGCCTCATAAAATGTTACGTCTCAGAGATTAGATGATAAATATTCAAGATGATTTTGGTTTCAGTAGTTCAACTTAGTCCAAAAGCGTGACCTGTGCCTTCATTGACAGACAGCTGTCATGCTGTTGAGGATGCAGGATGCTCTGAATTACTTGCTGGGGGTGACTCAGACTTGTGTCAACAGGCTTTGGTGACCCATTCTTACTGTTCCTGATGCCATTTACATCCCAACTTTTATTTTATGGCACCATGACAACAATTCAGTGTTTCTCAATTCCCCACTAGAAATACATGTTTAAAAACCTCCTCATTTTGACGTGATGTGCGTAGACAGTCCTTGCAGTAAGTCTGTGATGCTGCGTATGGAGAAGTACTGACTTCCTGCAGCATTGCGTAGCCAAGGCCCTTTATGCACGCCACATCTGAAGCATTGAAAACAGTAGCTTCGTACACTTAGAAATGCTAGCCAGTACCATTTGTTAAGCATTTACTGTGTGTTAAATATTTTATATACATTATCTTAATTAAACTGCACAACAACTACTTAGGAAGTGATTTGCCCCCATTTTGCAGACCAGGAAATTGAGGCTTAGTGTAGAAGTGAGAAGTCAAGTAACTTCCCCAAGGCCACGAACCCAGCAGATGTGGAGTTCAGCTTCAAACCCAGGTCTCTGAATTCCAAGTACATTAAAAATTTTGCTAATTCTTGCCAAATTCCTTTCTAAAAAGGGAGTGACCATTTCCCTTCACCTTTAGCCTCACCAACATTTGCGTTTTGCCAAGTGCTAAGTGAAAATTATTAAAATTCACAGATAACTAGTGAGATTGAATGATTTTTTTCTGTTTATTAGCTATTTGTGTTTTTCTTTCTGAGAATTTCCTGTCTTTTTCCTTTGAGTTTGTTTTTCTAACTGTTATGCAGGTGAAGTAATAGAGTTGAAGTTTTGATACTTTTAGAAGATAAAGGCTACATGCTAGTTGTGCTGTTGCAGTTTTACCCAGATTTTCTTTTGAATGCTAGTAATCCTAATGATTTTGAACTGAATGCCTAAGTAAGCGTATTTCGGTACACAGATCATTCAAGTTTCCACATAGAGAAATAGTCTCTGGGTTACAGCGGTGCCTGTCGATGCCTCCAGACTGAGCATTTCTATTAGTGTATGGTGACAGGTACCCTGTTACCTACCCTGGGATGCTGAGAAAGGATTGACTAATTTCCTTTCTTTCTTCTTCAGGTTTGCCTGCAACGAGATTTCATTCTCTCCAGTGAAGGGACATCCTTCTGAGCTGCTGTGAATAAACTTGGAATGATACTGTACATTTTCATCTAATGGAGAATTAGCTGTACCTTGAGTCAGGATTGCTGCACTGGACAACCTCAGAATACTGCTCACAATGTCATCAAACAGGAGTCAGAACCCCCATGGGCTGAAGCAGATTGGCCTTGACCAGATCTGGGACGACCTCAGAGCTGGGATCCAACAGGTGTACACCCGACAGAGCATGGCCAAGTCCAGATACATGGAACTCTACACGTATCCTCCTGCCTGAGCTGAGGCTTATGTGCTTCGAGTGTGATTACTTACCAGTAGGATCTGTGAATTGTTAGAAACTTTACTTCATGTTTTCTCTTTCCAGTTCGTCCTGTGATAGAAGCATGAGTTCATTTTTAGCTTTAAAAATGAACTCATTTACTCTTTGGAAGTTTTTTTAACAGAGGTGAAATTGGCCAGTTGGTAGTCTGAAGCAGTGCTATTCGGTACAGTAGCCACTGGCCACATGTGACTATCTACAACTGAAATCATTACAATGAACTAATTAAAAATTTAGTTCCTAAGCCTCAGCAGCCCCATTTCAAGTACTCAGTAGGTAACAGGCTGTCTCTGTCGCTGTAAAAAGTTCTGCAGGGCAGCACAGGTTAGAGCAAGAGATCCCTGGTTACATTGCCCGTGGCTGCCTTCGTGCTGTGCGGGCAGAGCGGAGCAGCTGCATCAGAAATGGCCTGGTCCACAAAGCTGCAAGTATTTTCTAGCTGGCCCTTGATGGGAAAAGTTTGCTGACCCCCATCTAAATGGCTACCACATAGAGACAAAGTTTTCCTTTATGGCCCTGGTTGCAAAAATGGTATTACAAAATAGTATTTCTCTCATTTATTATGTGGGTCCATGATGTGTGCCAGGGACTGCTGTGTGTTATGGAGGTTATGAGGGTGTGGAAGTTGGAGCTCCTTTCTACACACTTGGAGGCACCATTTAACTTGTTGTTGCTCGTTTCCTTTCAAGTAGAAGAATTCGAAATTTAAGCTAACTCGCTAGAGAGCGGATTGCTGCTGACGTGCTGGTTCTAGGAGTTTAAAGTTGCTAAGTCGTTTGGATGTTTAAGTTTAAATCTTTAATATAGATCAGCGATTGTTGAACTTGGTGTTGTGATATTCCAGTATACCCTCAACTATGCTAATATTTTAGAACCTTAAAAAAATTAACATTAATTTAAAATATATGAAACTATCTCTAAATTTAAGTTTTATTGTAGGTGTGTATATATTCATGTATATGCACTTATACTGTAGAATACTTCTAAAAAACAACAGCTTTATTGAGTATAATTTGCATACCTTAAAATTCACCCTTTTTTAAAGTGCACAATGCAGCAGGTTTTGGCATATTCAGAGTTGTGCAACCATAACCATTCTCTAATTTTAGAAAATTTTTATCACCCTGCCCCCCAGAAGAAGACTTGTACCTGTTAGCATTCACTCTCCATTCTCTCCTCTCACCCCCCCACCCCCACCCCCAAACTCTGGCAACCACTGACCCACTTTCTGTCCCTATGGATTTGCCTGTTCTCACATTTTACATAAATGGAATCACACAGTGCATGGCCTTTCCTGACTGGTTTTTTACTTAGGGTAATGTTTTCAGGCTTTGCCCTTGCTGTAAGCATGTGTCAGTACGTCATTCCTTTTTGTGGCTGAATTGTATGGTTATGCAGCGTTTGTTTATCCTTTCACCAGTGATGGATATCTGGGTTGTTTCCACTTTGGGGCTCTTATGAATAATGTGGCTGTTACGACTACTGTGTATGAGTTTCTCTGTGGACATGTGTTTTCAGTTCTCTTGGGTATATACATAGGAGTGGAATTGCTGGGTCATGTGATACATAGCGCACTTTTAAGCAGGATATAATCATTGTAAACGACAGGATATTATTGCACTTAAGAGGGTTGTGGCTTGCTAGATATGATGATTTCTTCTTTTTAATTCTTGTAAGTAATAGAGCTGAAGATGGTGATTCCAGTAATGAGACAAGGTACTTGGTTGGATTTCTGGTTTGCAAAAAAAAAAGAAAAGAAAAAAAATGGGAGCACTGGTGTGGAGACTAAGGAAACTTAGCTACTGATGTGTCTCTGGGGAATTTCTTAATATGTAATTTCTGACTAAATCAGATTGGTCTTTTGCCCAATAGGATGTTTCGCTCTTAGAATTCTAAGAAAGTAGAGACTGTCTGCTTGAAGCAGTTACTGAATTCTTTTATTCTACAAATGATTATAGTTTGTAGTTGTTTTGATGCCTACAATTTTAATTATTTTAGGAATGCTACTCTGAAGTGAAGTGTTATTCTTAACTTGGTCTGAGAGGATAACAACTTCATACATTTATTGAGAGTGGAGAAACTGACGTTAATTCTTTAGATATTATTTGTGAACTCATTGCTACAGTTAAGTCCTATGTGTCAGCCATTGTGCTAGGAACATCTGCATCGTATTTAGGGCTTCCGTCACCCAGGAGAGTTGGTGGCAGCAACCCTCCAATTGGTGTCAGAAATCTGGTCTCGGAAAGCTCAAGTAACTTGCCTATTGTCATAGCAACCAAAATAAATGATGATGCTGGAACCAAAACTCTTAGTAGTCTGAACCTAGAAACTGCCCTTATCACTATATGGCCTTTGGGTTTTGTGTTCAAGTGAATCAGATGCCTTAAAGTATTTTCTGTGCTTTTCTTAAGAAATTCCAAAGAGTGTTTTAATCAACTCTTAATATATTAACTCTTAGGATACAGATGAAACAGTAGAATGTCTACTTGTATTTATTAATGTAATTATTGAAAATCATAAAAGTATACTCCTTCTCTGCATTTTCAATATCAATGTTGTTGTCATAAGTAGAAGAGCTTTGACAAATTTTTTTGTCATCTTTTGTCTGTTCAGCCCTTCTGTTCAGTTCCAATTTCCTGTGATGTCTCACATCCGTATATGCAGTTACAATGCAACAGGTATTTTTCTTTTGCAGTAAAATATAGGAGCACATTCTATGCAGGTGGGTAAATAATAGGTTTCCTTTCTTTGGACTTGAAATAGGTAATGAAATTTGTTTCAGTTTGTCGACACCACTGTATTTCCAGTGTCGTGCCTGGCTCATGATAAGCGTGGGTCCTGCCTGGTGGAGCAGACATTGCAGTTCAATGTGATGGTCCCTGGGCACAGCCCAGGGCAGCCAGTCTGACCCAGTCCAGACCCCAGGCCCTCTGGTTGGGGTTTCTCTGTCTTTGCGAGGCCCCAGGTCTGCCTGACTCTCGCTTCCAGGTCAAAATTCTTTTTTTTTCTTCTGTGGTCATTGTATACCTCAAACCATAATTTTAGCTCCCTTGGAGTCGATTTGAACTTCTAAGTTGATGTCTCTTTTTTCTGTTTACCTGCATAAGTTCTCATAAACTTTGCAGTTCCTGTTTTTCCCCCCCTATAGTCTCTGGGCTGAATTAGCTTGTTCTGTTTTCTTAGCCTGTGTTCTCAAAATCTTCTTTTCCCCCCTCCAGAACGCTAAGGATCGCATTCATGTTTCCTAGTCCTGTGGCTTCCCTCTCAGAAAGTTTTACAACATCAGCATATTCAGAATTCATCCCTAACGTCCGTCCCAGTTCACAGTCCCTGGGGGCGGGGCTCTTGTTCGCCCGGAGCCAGCCTGCCGAGCCCTGGCAGCCTGCAGCTTGTGTCTGGCAGGGACGACATGCCAGGACTTGCTGCTCCGACCGCTGCCCTGCACCTGCCCGCTGGGCAGTCCTGGCTCGGCTGCTGCTGTCACTCTTCTCAGGCCCACGTGCTTTGCCCTCGCTGGCTCTTCCATAGGAGCTGTGGGTGCTCTGAACCCCCAGTGCACCCTCGACTTTTAAAAAATGTAAACCACCGTATGGAAAGTGGCTATTTGTAGGTATTGGGCTTGTGGGTGATTTTTTGAAAATGATCTGTGCTTCTAGATTTAGGTGTAGAACATGCATTTTAAAATACAGTTCATTGGTTTTTATTAGTTTTTCTTATGCAAATATAAGTTCTCTGTACCCTTCACTACTGACCTGGTACTGTTAAAATAGTTCCTAGGTTTGAGAAACTGTATCTGTCTTCAAGAGAGAATACACATAAGTTATAATTATATTGCATAGTTGCCTCAATATGTGATTTTTTGTTTTTATTAGTATAAATATGGTATGTCCAGCTTTTTCCTTCTAAATTTGATTCATGGTGTACGATTATATATACTCGGAGCACTTTGAATATTTTCAAACAAATTTTATAGTTAATCACAACCAGTTGCAGGCAGTCGTTGCTTTTGAAATATGCTGTTTGTTAGATGTGAATTTATTTGCTTTGTATGGACTGTTCCCTTTCAGAATCCTATCTAACCATAGCCTCGAGAGAACCTCATCCTTTTATAACTTTACAGACACGCTGTAAAGAATGGTGGGTGAGCCTGCTGTCCTTGCCAGCTTGCACAGGTGGGACATGTGGGGACATGTGAAGATAGGCAGTGTTTTTAGTTTAACTTCTAAAGTGCAAGTCTTTCCAGATGATTTTTAATATAAGTTTACGTTTCCGCCATACGTTCCAGTTGAGTAAGAAGTGGTAATAGAAAATGGTTCTGTTCTCTTTAGTTTTTCTCCTTTAATTGAATTGACTTTCCTATTAGAAAATGAAAATGGTTTGAGTTTGGTACTAGTATCTGAAAGTCGCCAATCAGTTCCCAGATGTGTGTGCCTTAGGCATAAAGCATGGAGCTGTGGGGCCACCACACTGGAGACCTTTCTGTCCCTACAGCAGGTCCCGTGACCACTTGTGTCACAGGTATGCGGCCACTCCCACAGCAGGTACCAGAGGCAGGGAAGGCGCTCAGGAAATGTCTGTGGAAATACGTGTGGAGCTTTGTCTAAGACCTCTGCACCTGATGTGACCCCTTTCACAGTGACTTATCCTACCAGTCATGCACAAGGTATGCCTTGGCAAATGACTAAACAGTTCTAGGGTGACAGAAGAGGTATGTGACCTATTTCAGAGGCAGCACCAAACTTGGCTCTTGGCCCTTTAACATGACAGCCACATCACGTCACGGTTCCCCGCCCGCTGACCTGTCGACAGAGACCTGCTCAGGCACCTGAGCGGCCAGAGGGCGGCCTAGATTCTTATCTACTCTGCCTTTGGCTGTGTTGCCAAATAAACTCTTCCAGGAAACCTTTTGAAAAGAACCTCCAAGTTTTAAAAGTCAAATGTG